GTAAGAAAATAAAAAATTAATTATGTGGCATTAAAGTTCGATTTCTAACAAAATCCTTGATATTTTCCAAAATAATTTAAAGGGGTTTGTGCACAAACCCCGTCCCAAAAATTATAATAGGAATAACCGGTAAATCATAATATAGAAAAGACAAATATATTTAAATAATTACAAATTTGAATTTTTATATATTAAGCAAAAATGGATTAACCTTATTTTAATAAGATATGCCCAAATTTAGGATATATTTATATAAAAAGGTTGGTCATTAGTAGAGTCCGACATTTTAGGTTCCGACCTATTTTTTTTTGCAACCTTGTAATGTTGAGTAAAGCTCAAAAAACACTTATTTGGCACGGTACCATGCTCCTACATTGGACCTATTTGAGCCTAAAAAACCTATTTCGGCTTTTTTGGACCTAAAACCTATTTGAACCTATTTTGACCTTTTTAGGACCTATTTTAGGTTTTTTGAAAATTTTTATTAAAATTAGACTATTTTCTGTCAGTTTTTTTGTTAAAATAAAGTTAAATATTAAAGATTCTTTCAAAAATTATTATTAAACATGAATTTCGGGTAATCTGCACTTGATGGGCACACCCCAACCTACCGCGAGGCCAACCTACCGCCGAGCTATAACTTTGTTCAAAATTGTCGAATCCGGGACAACATGGTATGATTCGATGCGCCTCGACGAGCTGAGGGGGGGGGCTTCCCGGATTACTAGGGCTTCCCGGATTCGACAGTTCTGAACGAAGTTATAGCTTGGCGGTAGGTTGGGTCGCGGTAGGTTGCCTGCTCCTGCACTTGACCGGGCAATTTTAGAGTTAGACAATAAACTGCGAGCGAGTAAATGTCCAACTCTCAACCCATATGTCCGCAAGCGTTGGTTTATATTCTAGAGGCGTTCGAGACCAAAATTTTCCCCGACCCAAGATCAAGACTAGACTACTTTTCCTCCCTTTCCTTTGCTGGTTGACAGCTTAGCGTGCTTTCTTTGGGGCTTAAGTCATGAAAAGGTCGGCTCAATGAGCTCACCAGAAGAGCTCGTTAAACCGAGTCGAATAACACCAAAATCAGCTCGATTGATAATTCTGAACAAAATTATAACTAAGTAAATCTTCGGTGGTGCTACGGGGGGTATCGAATAAGCGACAAGAGTTGTTTTTTAGCGAGATTTAAATGTACTCCCACGAATTTTATTCATTATTAAAAAAGGAAAAATTTTTTCACAAAATTTTTTTTTATTTTATCAGTATAGTAACCAAAATTTTGAACCTATTTGGTCAAAATTTGGACCTATTTTGGCCTTTTTCGGATTTTTTCGAGCCTATTTTGCCACTTTAAAAACCTAAAATAGGAACCTATTTCTCACTTTTTCGGACCTAAAATGTCGGACTCTAGTCATTAGATAGGAAATCGCTTAAGCGATGTCCTCAATTTAAGACATCCGTTTAATTAAATTTCCTTTTAAAATCGTCATTAACCTTCTTTTAATCATTTTTTTAAATTTTAGACTAAAATTCCAAAAATCAATGCTTGTACATTTAAAACAAATATTGTTACTTTCTTCATTACAACAAATTAATAATAATCGAGAAAGAGAATTAGATTTTAAAAGAAGAAAAAGGAAAATTTTATTTTTATTTTGGTTATTGGAAAGAAGATTTTAATTAAATTTAAATTAAAAATATTTATTTTTTGTTGTTATTGCTTTATTATTTTTTGTGAAAAATATTTTTTTAGTTAATTTTGGATGTTTTATTGGTTAACAAAAGGAAAATATTAAGAATTTTACTTAACATTATCTCTTGTTAAAAACATTTGAAAAAATTTCAGAATTTCTCTACAAATCCCATTTCCCCCCTCAAGTATTCCCAATCTTTTTCCAATCTCAACTTGCCATATATTTTTTTTCATTTTATCTAAAATATCCCCTAAATCTCCAAACGAGCTTTTTGGTTAGCCCGGCAATAATTTGAGTGTTTTATGGAAGTAGGGAACTAGCCTATTAAAAGATTAACTTTCCAATTTTTGCGAATCAAATTCAATTACTTCATTCCTGATCGAAACAAACTTTAGGAATTTTCGATTCTCCAGAGGCCTAATTTCCTGTTTTAAAAGTACATTTATACCTTTTATCAGAAAAATGTACTTAAAATTTTTAGCCATATTTTAACAGAAAATTAAACAAATTTTCACCTGTAAATTAAAAAGAATAAAATAAATATTATTTAAAAATTATAGAGAGAATTTTTAAGTAATGTTTAGCTGGAAGTATAATTTAAAGTGTTGCGAATGAGAATTTAAAGTAAACGAAATTAATAATTAATTAATTTTTTCTACGTTTAATATGTACATATGTCGGCGGAAAAATTCAGATTTAGGAAAAATTCAATTTTTCCTAGCATTTAGGAAAATTTCAGATAGTAATAAAGTTGTCAGTTGAGTCTGGTCTAGATTTTTGTTTTTTCGGTGTTGTTTGTGTTTTTTATGTTTGTTTTTGATTTTTCTGGGCTATCTTTAAATTTCCTGATTTAGTCAAGATAACCATATAAGATAAGTTTGGATTTTTTTAAAAACAAAAAAAAACAACATAAACCTATGGGGAGTCGGCGAGACGCGTGCCGCGAGACGCGGCACGCGTCTCGCGGGAGTCAACGGTCGCTGGGTTCTGCACTAGTAACATAATCCTATTCCTTTTACCGATTTTCAGCATTGAAATGCCGACCTACCCATTCAGTTGTAGGACAAAAATTAAAAAACACGAACTAAAAACCAAATTAAAAAATAAAAACAAGGGAAAATCTTAAAAAAAAAGACAAACAACCAAAAAAACAAAAGAGAAACAAACAAGAAAAAACATACTCAAAAACGAAAAACAAGCGAAATAGTGTAAGACAGACTATTAAATTAATTTAATATCTGAAATTTTCCTAAATGCTCGGAAAAATTGAATTTTTCCTGAATCTGAATTTTACCGCCGACACATATAAATAATTATATGTTGAATGCAGGTGGAAATGGGGGGAAATTAGAAAGATTTTTTGTTAATATTTAGAAATTATAAATTTCAGAATTCCTCTACAAATTCAGAATTCCTATTTCCTCTACTTAAAAAAATCTCAAAAAATGTCCTTTGATTTCCTTGATATTTTATTTAAATTTGATTATTTTGTTTGTTTATTAATTGGGTTCCCTTTAAATATAATTCTAATTATTTTAATTAATTATTTTAATCTAATTATTTTAATCAAATTTTGATACAAAATTGTGTTTTGGATATTTCAATGTTGACTGTTCAATTATTTATTCAAGAGGTGATATTCAAACTGAAAGAAAACCTCAAAGTTAAAATAATAAAAATCAGATTTTAAAAAGAAGTACTTTATAACGAAACGAAATAAATTTTTTTTGTTTCGTTCCGAAACGAAACGAAAGGGAAAAAAGGGCACGAAAGAGCGAAACGAAACGAAACGAAATTTCGCCCATCCCTGGTAGGGACACACCCAAAACGGCGCATGGCCAAAACAACGCAAAGTCATAATTTGCTTCAAGATTTCCGAATCTTAACAAATTTAGTATTAAACGCTTCCACTCATTGAGCTAAAGAGATTAGTACCAAAATTTATAAGGGCCAGAAATTTTCCAGCTAGTTATGGCTTTGCGTCGTTATGGCCGCGCGTTGTTTTGGGCTGTACCCATCTCCGAATATCCGGACTTTTTCGGATACGAATCCCCCAACCCTACTCAGAAATTATTGGTAGAGAGAAATATTTTCAATTAATAATTTCTCTAATCAAATTGTATTTCAGCGTTCAAAAAGGTATTGAGGGGGTTAATTCTAAAGCCCAAACCAAACTGAAATCTCAAACAAAGATCACAGTTATCGAGATAATTTATTTATAAGCTTTTGCCTCGACTCCAGCTCGGGGTGTGCCTAGATTAAGCCTACGGAGTTCGAGTCGTTGTTTTTGCCCAAAAAATTGTCGGGGTTTCGGGGGACGGGAGTGCTTTGTTTTTTCTCAATTTTCACCCAGAGCCCAGTCTCATTTTATTAAAAAAATATTTTTTCTTTAAGTTTATTTTTTACTAGGTTGTTGTTCCATTTATTGACCAATTGGGAATTTTATTTTATACATTTACAAAAACATCCAACATTACAACAAATATTATTCGAATATTATTTCATTTTACTTTTCATTTAACCCCTGTATTTAATCCAATTATTTGTATTTTAACAAACACACCATATCGAAATGCTATTTTTAATCGTTCACAAATAAATCCACAATGAATTAAAAAATATCTAGATCAGAGTGGCCATTTTACCACCTTTAGGGGGCATTCGCCACCTTTCCGACTTATTCGCCCTTTTTTGCCCCCTTTTTCCGATTCGCCCGCGTTTTGAGAAGCCATGCTCCTTTTTGGCGATTTGGAAATGGTCATCCTGATTTAGGTACTTGATAATATTTATATGACAATCACACTCCTCCCTACAAGGGATGTTACGAGGCTGAAAAAGTCGGCTCGGGGGTTGGGGTTTGGGAAATTTTCTTGGATCTGGTTTCGTATATCGGGTCGGAAAGATGTCCGGATTTCATGTTTCAGGTAACCCGTTACATCCCTTTCTACTATCTACATATTTGTAATTAAAAGTAGAAACAAAAATTTATTAAATTAATAAACTAAGGAAATTATATCTTACAAAAATGAGTACTTGTAATGCTTTTGAGCAGTATTTTATTACAAAATTTTTTTTGTTAATTTTTATGTCCGAGCTTTAATGTTTTTTCTAAAATTATTTTTCAATTATTCATTCTTAAGATTTGTTTCTCTCCTTCAATTTTTCTTATTTTTAACCCCATAATTTGAACTACTTTTTCTGTTAGTCCAATATATTTGGCAAATTGTTTCTTGTATTTATTCTTTTTAATTTCCATAGCAACGAGAACAAATCTTAATTTCTGTAGAAAAAAAATATTTTTATTTTCCAAAAATGTATGACCAATATACAGATTCAGAAGAAGAAGAATCACTCCCATCTACTTCAAAAGCAAGTTCAATTAAATCAAATAAAAAAAGAAATTCGATTAAAGAAGTGGTTGAGAATTCTTTAGAGAAAAAAGGTGGGGAAAAAGTAAAGGATTTTAATTACTATGTCATAATATGTAGATAACTCTCCGGAAAAATACATAGAATTTTTATTTTACAAGTGAATCAGTTGGACCTTCTTGGGCGTGGAGAGAGGTATATGAAATCTAGGGGAGGGTATTATTGAAACAGCTCTCTCCAGCCGAATAAAAAATAAACAGACTGGCGACAGAAAAATGAGTTTAAGAAAGTCGTAAGATAAGGAGAAGGGAAAGAATTCAAGTTGTTAAGTTCGTCTGATCGTTTGAGGCAGTGATGCGGAAGTTCCAAAATTTTGGCGGTTCCAGTTCCGGAACTGGAACTCCCGCATCACTGGTTTGAGGTTGTCCTTTTGAAGAGTAAACACAAAAAATCCCCATTTTTTTGAGTTTTTCAGAGTTAATTTTTATTAATTAATTAGATGAAATTCCAATCAAAAATAAAGAAACGGCTTTAATTAAACAAAAAGAAGAAAAATCAGAACATCCAATTAATGTACAAGTTGAAGAAAATATTAAAATAAATGAGAAAATAAAATCTATCGAAAATTCCCCTCCAAAACAACAAAGAAAGGAAACAATTAAAACACAACAACAACAAATAAAAAAGAAAGAAAAACAAATTGAAGAGACAAAAAAACAAATTGTTGAAGTTAAACAAGAGAGAGAACATTTCCAAAAACAATTTCCGGATTTTCATTATTTGCCGGATGAATTTCCAACAGAACAAAGTGACCACTACTCTCTAACTTGTCATTTATTTCCTCGAATGTCAGAAAGCAATTTACAATTTCATGATATTTATTGGGATAAAAACGAGCAGGTAAAAAGTAGGGGAAATTGGGTAAAGGAAATTTTCTTGGAACTCCGAGCCCCTAACCCCCTACACCGGGCCCCTAACCCCCTATATAACCCCTACTACCCGATGTACAGTCGTAGACTAGACTGCTCCTTCCGGTTTACAATAAGACCGGAAAACTATAACGGTTAGAGAATAAAAATGAGAGAGTGTATTTAAACTGCGATTACTTAAAGATTCCAACTTTCCGGAAAACAGAATTTCTGTTATGTTAGGCTAGGGCTTAGCACCAAATTTACGCATGGCGCGCCAATGCCAATTTTTCTTATTTTTCAAATTGCTAAAATATGCCAAATACAAAACGCCAAAAATGAACGCCAAATTTTTATAAACGTATAAATTTAAAAAAAAGGCCCGATTTCTTCCTTTCTTAGCTATTTTTTCCTTATTTTGAAAGGGCAAGAAATCTTTTTTACTGTGCTTTATTTAAAAAAACCTTCCAACATTATATGTGTAATAGATGTAATAGAAATCGAGATTTTTGAAAAGCCTGGACCTGTTCCTGGACTCTGGGTCCTGTATTCGTGGAAAAACTCAGGCCCAGGAAGACCCCATGAAGGTCAAAAAATGCCTGGACTCAGGGTAAAGGAAAAACCCAGGCCTTGGTCCAGGCCCAGCTTGATCTCTAATATGTGTGTAACAGCGTTTGGCTCACTAAACGAGGAAATATCCTCGTTACTATAATTTTAGTAAAATTCTAAAAACATTTTAAAAATAGGGAGAAGCAATGCTCCGTAAACGTCATGTTTGTGTAAACAAATTAATTATTTCTCCATCTGTTCGTTTACAAGAAGAAGCTGATAAATCTTCCTTAACTTCAACATTTAAAGCTAGTTTTTCTTTATTCGATAGACGCCCATTTGCAAAAAGACAAATTGTTTCGAATATTTTTTCTGTTCAAATTCCAGTTCGGGAAAGTGGAATTGTTGCTAAAGTATTCCAAAAAAGTAAGAGAAAAATTTCGGTACTTTTCCGTTATACGACCGCAAAACTGGGTGCCAGACGACTTTTATCAGCTATAACTTTTTTATGCTTGGTGCAATACAAATGAATTTTATATCATTCGGAAGCCCTCGATAAGCAGTATTTTTTCCCATTTGGTTGGATCAAGTCTGATTGACCGCTAAAAAGTTACAAGGCGATAGATGCAAGAAATCGTTGTTTTTCACCCTTATCGACTTGTAACTTTTTAAGGAGTGATCAGACTTGATCCATCCTATTAGAAAAAAGATACCGCTTATCGAGGGCTTCCGAATGATATAAAATTCATTTGTATTGGATCAAGCTCCAAAAAGTTATAGCTGTTCAAATTCGTCTAATACTCAGTTTGCGGTCGTATAACGGAAAAGTGCCAAAAAAATTTTTTTGAAAAAATTAAAACATTTCTCTCTAAAAAAGGCCAAATCAATTCCTCAACAATTTTAATTCGTTCAAATTATCGTCAAAAAGAAGTTGCCCTTCAAATAATTTTAGAAAAATATTCTTTAACTTCAAATAACGTTATTCTAATTGGAAATGTTGAATTAGAATTATTGGGAGAAAAAGGCCAAGATTTACTTGGAAATCGTTCATATTCTCATTTATTCGAGAATGGAGTTAGATTGGAATTTAGAACTGGAAATGTTCCGACTGGAGAAGTTTTGAAGACTGAGTAAATTATTCTTTAAATTTTACAACCTCTGTCTTATCTCATCTAAATAACTATGGTTGGGGTTTTAGAGTCGGGCCGATATACGAGTCATTTTTATGGGCTTTATTTTTATCGCACCGGATCGACCGAGTCTTTTTCAGGCCAAAATTTGATGCCAGACTCGATCTTTTGGGCCGGGCCTTCAACCCTATACATACCACCCCACATATCCTACCCTATTTAATCTCCACCTTTCTATAGCCCATAGTTCTTATCACACATTTACCCAGACCTGCTCACGGATACGGATAATATCCGGATACCCGCGGATATCCGCGGATACGGATGGATATGGATAGTATTTTTAAAAAATTGGACGGATACGGATGGATACGGATATGATGCTTCAAATCCGCGGATATCCACTCAAAATTCTAGCCTGCGTTACAAAGAAAGTGAATTTTTTTCGCTTTCGGCCTTTCAAAATTTTAAAAATTTTCGCCTGCGGCGCTAAAAAAATGAAGAAATCTGGCTGTTAAATAATTGAAATTCTCAAATTTTCGCCTGCGGCGCTAGAATGAAGAACTCTGGTTTCTTCGCCTTACAACTTAAAAATTTTTATCTACGACGCTCCAATGTGTGTCTACCCACTTAAGGTACGAAGTACAAGTCAGGCCAAATTCAGTGGTGAGTACGAGAAAAATTAGCTCGTACTCTTTTAGCTGGGGAAACGAAAATTTTCAAAGGGGTATGGGAAATTCCCCCACCCACCCCCTAATTGGGAAAAAGGAAAAAATTAGATGAGTGGATTGGGCAAAAAAGTGAATTTTTTGGCCTAGGCCCTTCTAAAATTCTCAAAATTTTCGCCTGCGGCGCTGAAAATGAAAGATTTTTTCTTCTTTGTCTTCCAAATTCTCAAAATTTTCGCCTGCGGCGCTAAAATCAACTGGTCAGTTAACAGAAATTTTCATTTCGGCCCGAAACCGGGAATTTACTTTTCAAAAATTCTCAAAAATTCTCAAAATTTCATTTTTTTCAGTATAATCCCTGATAAGCAGCGTTTAGTCGGAATTCCTATCTCTGCCTTACGATTTTCTACCTCCGATATTCGTAAGCAAGGTTAGTTAAGCTGCATCCAGTTATTACCTTGTTATCTACCCGTTACTCGAATTTAAATAAATTTGACCATTTTGAAAATTTTAGCAAGGCTGACCATTTTGAGAAAAAACGGATATATCCGCGGATATCCGCGGATGGATATGCCTAAAAAGTTGGACGGATACAAACGGATACGGATATTGACCTCACGGATATATCCGGATACGGATAGCAAAATCCGTGTCCATGAGCAGGTCTGCATTTACCATTTATAACGAGCTTATAGTTAACATTCTAGAGAAGGGACAATTGGGAGGGTTAACTGACAAGTAATAGGATATGATAGAGATCGGAGTGTTTAATAAATTTATTTTCTCTTAAAGTTCACTACCAGATGTATTAATTTGTGATGAAAGATGGATTGGAATGTTGGCAATATATAGACAATTACTTTGTGAAAGTCTTGCTAAATTTGGAAATGTTTTTGCTGACAGACCTTGTAAAATTAAAAAAATAAATTTTGAGATAATTCGTTGGCTCATAGAAAAGAATTATGTTAATACTTTTTTGGAACAAAATCGTTTGTTGGTGTAGTGGTTTCGGAGTGTGTTCCTATTTCCAATCCACCCTGGTTCGAATCCCTCCGGCGTTATTTTCTTTTTTTTTCATTTTTTCAACATTAACTTCACAAATTATTAATCTTATTCTTTAAAAAATATTTTTTATAATTTAAAAGCAATCCTTGTTGACCCAATAATTGCAAACTTTACACTAATTCTTGATAAAGACCAACCCTTTGCAGAATTAATACTTAAATTATTACAAAAATATGGTGCTCTAAATGTGAGAATTTTTTAGAAATTTTTAAATTAAAATAAAAATTCAAATAGAAAGAAATAACCCCTCAAGAATCTGTTCGCCGTTTTCGACATGTTTGTAACCAATTTATGCTTCCCTCTTTAGCTTTAATAAATTCTGAAGGATGGAAGGAAAAAATAAAAAAATATTTAAATGGGGAAATTAAAGAAGAGCCTAATCCAATAAATTTATTGTCAACAGAGCCTTGTAAAATGACTAAAATTTCGGATTTTCAAATATTATTATGTGGAATACATTCACTAGATTAAATTTTTTATTATTAAAAAAAGTAAGGCATTTAAATAAAATTTTTAGAAATAATCACAAAAAAATAGCCTGAGAAAAAAAAAGAAAAAGGCAAAGAAGAAAAAATTAATTTAAAAAAAAAGAAACCGTAAATGAATAGGGTTTTTATAAAAAAAAGAGTAAAGACCAGGCATGCTCATGGATACGGATAATATCAAAATGCCTGCGGATATCCGCCTGTATCCGTGTTTATCCGCCGTAAATATGCGAATACGGATACCAAGATCAGTATCCGTGACCATGCCTGGTAAAACACTAAATAGAAGAACACCCAATAAAAGACCCTTAACTATAAAATATAAGGAACTCGTTCCTGAAAGTCCCCAAGATACATAGTTTTGTGTTACAGAAAGAGAATATGGGCTAGAAAATTAGATAGGTAAATCACCGAATATTTGAATAAATACACACTCGAAAGATAGGATCGTTATCATAAAATAGTTTAAGGGCTTATCAACTATTCTCCGTCAATTTCGTTGCTTTTTTGACTTGTTGTTGATGTTTCTCGACTACTTTTACTTTTAGATTTTGCTGTTTTCATTTCAAAAGTTGGAGGGGGAACAACAAGCATTGAGGGAGACGGCCATTTATTGAGTAATTTGTTGTTTTTGTTGTTATTTTCTGATGTATTTGTTGAAGGTAAAGTCTAAATAAAAAATAAAGTTTAGGTAATTAAAACTGTTTTTAAAAGAAAACATTTTGATTTAACATCAGACCAAACAAATATTCAACGTCGGAAAATCCAAATTTTTTCAAATATAAAACAATTAACTCAAATTTTTGATTTTGAATTTTGTCCGATCTCTAATTTCGATGAAAAAGATAATATTTTTACGGTTGTTTATTCTCTTATCCTGGCCCTAAAACCGACATAAGGTACTCATTTATGATTTTTCCTTACAATAAAATTATTTTAAAGAAATACCCATCCGTTAAAATGAATTTAAAAGGAAATGTGCCACTGCAAAAACGTATGTTTCGAACTGTCTGGGTTGGATAGGGAAAAAGACTAATTAATCCACGCTTTGGAATAAAAACTTTTAATTATTTTACTTTTCCAATATCCCCCAACTTAATATTTTCTTCTTGTTTTGTTGTTGTTGCCATTGAAGGTATTTTCTTTTTTGAAAATAATCTTTTCATTGCATCAAATTCTTTTGCTTCTTTTTGAAAATTTGTTGATAATTGTTGGAGTTTTAAATTATTTTCTTCTTCTTCCCTTTCTTCCTCCTCTTCTCCTTCTTCATCCTCAAAATCACCCAAAATATCAGAAGAATTTGAATTTGTTTCATCTGTTGTATTATCTATTTCTAAAGAATCTCTTCTTTGAAGAACTGCTTGTCTCATCTTTTTTTTAAATTTAAAAATTAAATTTAAAATTAATTATTCAATTACCAAATATCGTTCTCTTCTAAGTTGTTTAATTATTTCTGTAGGCATATCTGGTATTATATAAGCAAACATTGCTTTAATAGTTAGTACAATTAACTGGAAGAATAAAAAAATATTTTAAAAAACTTGAATAGAGCCGTGAATTATTTTGAATTTGAAGAGATTAATTTCTATTTTAATTTAAAAAGTGAAGTCGAATATATACAATTGAACCAGCTTTTTAGTTAAAAAAATTCCCCATTTTTTTTAATTTGATTGTTGGAGGGGGGGGGGGGGCTCGACTTACTAGTATATATCACACCACAATAGTAAGTCGAGGGTCCCCTATCGAATGATACCAAAAAAATTATCGAATTCGCACTGACAGTAAACGATGTTTCCCTGTGAGTGGATGGCCTATCTGACAATAAGCAAAACTCCCAATTTAAGTACACACCACATTATAAAATTTGATTTTCCTGACCCAAAGTTCGAATGTCTTAGACATCAAAACTAAAAAACCAAATAAAAACTTTACTTCAAAAACCAAAACAAAAGCAAGTCTAAAAGCCAAAATAATCCACCAACTATCAGTAAATTCATAATTTTCAGCACAAGGAATATCAAATGTAAAATTATATTTTTCGAGAGAACAGGGAGGTCTTTAAATTAAAAAAATTTTTTTTAATTACTAAAAACCTTCTCAAATCCCAATATCTACAATAATTTTGTGTTGGATACCCAGATTTTTCAAATTCCAATTTTGAAGAATCAAAATAAGAAAGCGTTTCATTTACATAACTTTAACAAAAAAAATTTAAAGAAAAAACTTTTCAAGATTGAAAAAACCCGTGTAAAGTTCCTTGTGTCATTCTATAATAAATTTTAGGTATAAAATCAGAAGTAAAGGCAATTACAAAAGCATTGCATAATACAGCAATATTTGAAAGCATGTTTATTATTGTCTAGAAAAGAGAAACATATTATTCTTTGAGGTAATTTTAAATTAAAAAAAAAGGAAAAAATAGAGAGATGGATGAGAAACCTAAGATTTATAGGTTACAGAAAATTAGATCTAACTGACTGACAAAAGGAACCATTTTGAGTGACTGGTGGGAGAAGATTTGGCAAAAAAGCCAAGTTATTCCTTTCTTTATATTATTCTCTTTGATTATAATTCAACTTGTTTGTTAGGCGTGGACATACAACATAGTATATTAAAGAAATTATATTCCCCATCTGCCCCAAAAAAGTCCTCCTTGCCGGTTATTTAGATCGAACTTTGTATATACTCCAAATTTCACTCAAACTTAGGCTGTTTCTTACCCCATTTAAAACAAACTAGCCATTCTTTCTTTTTGAAAGAAAAATATATTTTAAACAAAACTTACAAGCCAAACACCAATATTTCTAGATTGTGCAGGTACAGGTCTTCTCATAGTCACAATAAATTTATAAGCATCAAAACGAATTTCAAAAATATTATTAATTAAAGCTAAAAGTGGAGCTAAAGGAAATGCTGCCACGAATAATGTACAAAACCCAAGTTGTATAACCATCTCTAAATATTCATCAAAAAGAAATTGTTGAGAGACGGGGTTTAAGGCATAATCCTTAAAGTTAAAAATGTCAAAGACGCCTTTTAGGGTTAAAAATTCTCTGATAATGAGAGGACTTAAATTAATGAACGGTGCGGGGCAATCTCACACTTTTTTCAATTTGCGGGAGTGCGAGATTATTTCCGCGGGATCCTGTCCCGCAAATATTTAAAAAAAATCACGCATGCAGGATCCCGCAAACGCGATTTTGCCGGTCTCTACCTTAAATTAGGTTATCGAGAAGTCAACTTCTCCCCCTCAATTTTATGATAAGTTAAACGCAATAACTTCAAATATTCGAAACAAAAAAACACAAACCTTTTCACACAAACAAACATTAGTATCAGGCGAATGTTCCTTCTCTTTTTTAATTCTTTCAATTTTTTGTTGCTCAGTTTCAGGCTTTGAAAGTCTCCAACGTCTAAACCAATAACAAACCATTCTTAAAAAATTCAAAAAAATTTTCAGAATTTCAAATCCTCCTTACGGATATGCCAATTCAATAAATCCATTAATTGCTTGTTTCCCAATCATAATAACAATTAATTGAATCATTAATTCCACCATACAACCAGCAGCCTCACACCTTTCTAAACGAATATTTCCAACTTTAAGTTCATGTGGATCTGCATATCCTCCTGTTGAATTTGTGGGTGTTCCTGGAATACCTGCGAATCTAAAAAGAATGAAAATAATTTTATTTTAATTTTAAATAAAAACTAAACCTTCCTTTAAAGAATGCAATGTAAAACAATGATGAATAAAAATTGACAAATTGAAAAAGAAAGACTGAAAAAATAAAGTTAGTAAGAGTATAGACTTTCCGATAATTATTGTAGATGATGTCTTTAAACTATAAACAAATATCTCTTTTCGAAAAAAGAATGATGGACATTTAGTTAAGTGAATTCCCGATTCTACTTAACCGGGCTTTATATCTTTTATGTATATCCTTTATGGATATAAATCAGGGGTGGATTTTCTTCCGCTTCTGCAGAATTCTGCCTTTTTGACCCTTCCGCTTTCGTCTGCCGCTTTTCTATTTTATTCAGCTTTCTTTCGCTTTTTAAAATTCAAAATTATCCATCCATGATATACAGCACAGTTAAATCTTTTGAAAAGAGAGTGTTTCAACTAATAATTATCAAAATATCAAATTTTGACTTATTTAAATTTAAATAAAAAATAAAAACCTTTAAATGTAAAAGAATTATCAAATTCACTTTGAGTTCTTGGATATTCCCAATTTGTTAATTTATAAGCCAATTTATTATAAAAATAATTCATACTCATAATAAATATTAAATTAATTAAAGCAGCTGTGGCGGAAGTAAATATAACTGCTTGCGATTGAATAAATTCGCTGTTTTCTCTAGCATTAAAAACACCTCTTACAATTATTCTATAAACAATAATTCCAAATAAAAGTGCTATAACCAAGCAAATCTATAAAATTAAATTTATAAATTATTGGAATGGAGGGAGGCAGTGGTCCTTTAACAGGTAATTTTAAAGGACCAGTGAAAAGGATTAATGCGAGAAGGATTAAGGAAAAAGGATAAAATCCATTCTGTGATACAAATTATTTATAAAAATTAACAGCCAGTTTCCTATATAATTGAAGAGTTGAATGCCATAATTTTAAGACAAATCGTCTGTCGCTCTGCCCGGCTAGCAGAGTTTAATGTCAACTAAAAAGCTGAGCGTTTAATTCAAATTTTGAATTCCAAACGTCATTAACTTTATTACTAATTTATTAGAGTCCAAACCCCCAATGAAAACTATCATTCAAAACTAAACTTTAACACCAAACTTTTGGTTAACCAAGAAAACCTAACATCTTCTGTCAGAACTAAAATTGAAAACCTTACTAAAAACTAATAATTTAAGTACAAGAAAAACAATTCTACACTGATTCTCTTTCCAAAAAATTTTTAAAAACTTACAAAAAATAAAACAGTTATAGCTGATCCAAAAATACGAAGAGCCTTTTCTGCAAGTGAAATATAAGGCTCCTAAAAATTAAAACAAATTTTAAACAAAAAATACTCAAAAAACCGCTTCTTTAGTCACTCTATTAATTTTCATTTTTGCTCTCTTATAATATTGATATTCTGGCCTAATAACTTCTTCATCAGGTTCATACCCCAAAACATTCCATTTATAAGCCAATTCTGCATGATATCTTTTCCATAATTCAACAAATACAGTCATCCAAATAGACATTATAACAGTAAAAGCAATTGTTGCATAATTATCAAAAACATATGCCGCCTGAAATAATTGTTTTTTAAATAATTTTTTGGAAAAAATATTTATTTATTTAACAATTTTCATAAGGGGTACATCCATATTTACCAAAAGGTTTATAATTAGGCAAATGAAAATCTGATAAAGTCAATTCTGACATGCGTCGGTTAAAATCAACCTGTTATGATAATTTTACGCTTCCTATGTTAGTTATGCCTAAAATAGAATGGTTTGTTGACAGAATGGTATGCTCATATTTCAGGCCCGTAGCCAGGGGGAAATTCCCCCCCCCCCCCCCCGAAATGGAGAAAAGGAAATAATTTGGGGAATCATCAAAAATCATCAAAAATATTCAAAAATGTAAATATTTTTTGCTAATTTATTTGTTAAAATTTGGGAAAAATCAATGAAGACTTAAAATACAAATTTGAAAAAAACCTTTGAGTAAAGACAAGTACTATTCAAAGGAATATAATCACAAAATTTTTCACAAGCAGGACAAAGTAGTTCTTGAGAAACAGACCCATCTGGTCCATAACAAATATCATTACTCGAAATATCTGTGCTCATAGTAAAAAGTCCATAAATAACACAAATAACACCCAAAATTGAAATAGGATATAAACAACGAGTATAGAAGCCTAACCAAGCAAAATAAAAAGCAATTTTTGTTCCATAATATTTTTGAATTCTGTGAGGGAAAAAATTGAAATAAAAATTTAAATTTAAAAAATAATTACAAATCTAGAGGTTGATATTTAACGATATTTTTTAGTTTAACCCATGTTTCGTATAACAATTGACGATCACTGGGACAAGTCGAATAATCATCCGTTTTTGAAGAAGTATCCAATTCCTTTTAGAAAATATTTTTTAGTTGGGTTATAAATAATATTTGAAAGTAACTAAAAATTACTATATTTTAAAAATGGTTTTTTGTTGCTTAAATGCCCATCAGGGCTGCACGTAATTGAAAAAATTCTTCAACACGCAATTGCAAAACCCCAGCAATTTACGCAATCCGCAATTGCGTGCAACCCTAATGGGTATCCGAGCTTTTGGACATTTCAAAATGTAAAGAAAATTCAAAAATAAAAATTCAAAAATTCTTTCAAAATATTTTCCAGCTTATTCTTTTTTAATTAAAAAATATTTCACTAACCTCATGAAGTGGATAAGCAGCAGAATAAGTATTATTTCTAATAAGCCTTTCAATTCCAAAACGCATTTTGTCTACTCTATTCCCTCTATCATAACGTGTTCTAATTAATAAATCATAGACCATACGAGCACGATCAGCTCGAGAGAAGAAATTGTCTGGATTTTCCCAATTTACAAAACTGGAAAAAAATTTGTTAAACGGTTGGTTCTTTTAAAAAATTAATTTATTTTTGGTGTAAAATGACAAAAATTTGTTTAATTTTCCTATAAATCTGGGGAAATTAATTTATAAGGTCTTAAATTTTGTATAATTCAGTATTAATCGCCTCTAAGATTAAATCATTTGTTAGTATTTCTAACAAAATAGATTTTTTTGAAATTAAAACAGGAAAACCTCAAAAAATACAAAAAAATCAAACCAATGTAAATGTTGAGCAACAAATGGTTGACAAAAATATTCTTCTGTTTCTATTCGATTTTTAAGCGATTCTTTATGATTCAGAAATTTTATTCTTTTTAAAATTGAATTTATACAACCATCCATTAAATTAACTTCCTAAAATTTATTTTTTTTAATTTAAAAAATTAAAAAACCTTTTTAACATCATTTCTATGTACAGGCATTCTAATCATTAATAATTCTGCTTGTTTCATTAAAACACGAAAGGGTGCATGGACAAGTATAAATTTAACATTTCCTTGCTTAAATTTAAAAAAAAAATTAAAAAAAAAATAAAATTTTATGAAAATAGAATTGGGAAGGAAATAGGAGGAAAATGAAAATCAGAAAATAGTTAAGGAAATATTTTTATGGGAATCTATTTAAGGAAATTTGTTTAAAATTGTTTATATTTTAAATGTCGCTCACTAGAATTTCTAATAAGCTTACACGGAGAGGTTGCGAAATGTCCGACCTAAAAACGTCAAGACCGGGCTCATTCGATAGACACCTCGCAACCTCTCCGTGTTAATTTAAAGAAAGCTTAATTTTAAGAAATGTTTAAAGTGAAATTTCTCTAGGTAGAGAATAAAAGCCATCCGAAATAGAAAAAAATCTAGAGAATAGACAAAAATTATTGACTGGTTAAAAAAATATTTCAAATAATATTATATTTCCTTAAATCTTAAAAATTCATAACCAGTTTGGAGATGTATGCAATCCCAACCAAAATTTAAAGAAATGTTTTCAAACCTTCGAAGTGACATATTCAAGTTCTAAACCAAGTGCTTGCATATTATTCTCAAAAATTTGTCTTTTCTCCAATTGTTCATCTCCTGAAGATTCTTCTTTGCTTTCATACTCATCCACAGCCTTTACTTCATATGCCAAAACGAAATCTATTAGTCTTTTTCCATCGGAAAAATAGGAGGACTGTCTAAAATTAGAGAAAAATATATTATTTTATTAATTCTTTAAAAATTAGCAAACTAATGTAAACGATATCCACAATAATAAATACCCTCAATATTACGGACAATTCTCAAGTCTAACTTTAATTAAATTTTGATTAACCAACTCCCTCCAAGGGCGTATCCAGGGGGTCGGTTTCGGGGGGGGCTAACACTGGGTGGGCGCAAAAATTTTTGGCGTTTACCTTGGCGTTCCTACGGCAAATTTTTTTGTACATAACTTTTTATATTTTCAGCGCCGCAGGCGAAAATTTTTTTAATTTTAGATGGCCGCAGGCCAAAAAAATTCAGTTTTTTGCGCCGCAGGCGAAAATTTTTTTAAATTCGAAGGCCGTAGGCCAAAAAATTTCACTTTTTCAGCGCCGCAGGCGAAAATTTTTTGGAATTTGGAGCCCAAGAAGCCAGATTTCTTCCTTTTTAGCGCCGCAGGCGAAAATTTTTTGCATTTGGAGGGCCGTAGGCCAAAAAAGTTCACTTTTTAGCGCCGCAGGCGAAAATTTTGAGGATTTTGGAGCTCAAGCAGCCAGATTTCTTCCATTTTTTGCGCCGCAGGCGAAAATTTTTTAAAATTTGAGGGTTGTAGGCGAAAAAATTTCACTTTTTCGACCATCCTTCTCCTAATTTTTTCCCCCTTTCCCCCATTTCGGGGGGGGCTCTAGCCCCCCCCAGCCCCCCCCTGGATACGCCCTTGACTCCCTCCATAATAACACCATTCAATAGAATAATTTTTATAAAACATAACTTGTTTGGAATAATCCTCGTCTATTCACATCGCCACCATTTGAATGTTCAATTTTATCTGTAATTTTGTCAGTCCTTTTCATCTCTTCAAGCTTAAAAAGAAAAAGATTTGAATTAACTAAAAATATACCTAATATACCAACCTGAAAACATTCCTGGTCAAATCCGACTTTATTGGATTTATTAGTTTGATTTGTATCTGAAAATATATAAACAAAATTTATTTAAAAAATTTATATTTTTGTGTAAAACTAATTTAAAATTTTGAGTTAAATTTGGAAAAAAATATTTGACGTTTCTATGAAAACTAAAGAAGAATTGGAATAAAAAACTAAAAAAGGAAGATGTAAGGTAAATGAGGTATAAAATTTAAATTTGTTAAAGCCTATGAGGTGCTAATTATTTAGCATAATAAGGGGAAAATAAGAGATATTTTTATTATTCTATTTTTAGAAAAGAAAATGAGGAATTTTAAATATTTTTAACCTAAATAAAAATTCATTTTGAAAATGCTTCATCCATTTTTATGACTAATCATAAGAAAAAAAATGGTAAAAAAAGGGGGGAGAATGACCTTGGAAAAGCGTAAAAAAGGAAGCGATCAGACTAATCAATTATTTTCAGTGAATCAACAATTTTTTAAACGTTACTCCTTCTTAATATTTTCTTATTTAAAAAATACCTTTATTTTCATTTTGCAACATAATTTCAGAATCATCACATTCAACAGGTATTTTAGCATGTAATTGTTGTAATTGCCTTCTTTTTGAATTCATTACCCCTTTAATTTAGAAACCAAAAAAGATGTTAAATACCTTCGTTTCCTTTTTTCAAGTCCTAAAAAAGAAAATAAAAAATAAAAAAATTAAAAAAAATTCTTTAGCAAAATCAGCTGACTTATTCTCGCTCTTTCATTATTCTCAGAAAAGAAAAAATCAAAACATTTTCTCTCACAAAATTATGTTGTCTATTAAATTTAAAAACCACTATAAGTATTTTACACTGCGGTGCATATGTTTATGCACACTAGTTTTTTGTTCATAAGTTTATGCACACTTATTCAAAAAATATGTTCTATATGGCAATCGAAAGCTCTATCTGTATCTCAGTTGACATGTTTCTGCATTTTTCGAAATTCTGATATTTTCGAAAACTTTTCGACCGGTCTAACAGGTACTACATTTTCAACTTTTAGAAGAAATTTTTTTGAGGCCTGTAAAAAATATATGTGATTCTCCTCTAGATTCTACATATAATACAAAAAAATCATCCAAATCGGTCGAGATTCGACCGAGTTATGAATTTTTGAAAATCGAAAAAATACCATATTTTTGCCATTTTTCGTCAAAAAATCGCGTTTTTTCGATTTTCAAAAAATCATATCTCCGTTCCGGAAAAAGATATTTCTAGGCGGTTTTGTGGTAAATACTCACAAAAATATGCTTTATCAAATGGGTTTGTTAAATTTTTTCCGAAAAATTTTTCCGAGGATATGGGATTTGGTATATCCGGTAGATCCGGATTAACTCGGTCAATTTTCATTTTCATGGAAAATGCAGAAACATGTCAACTGAGATACAAATAGAGCTTTCGATTGCTATATATAACGTATTTTTTGAATAAAATTGCATAAAATTATGAACAAAAAACTAGTGTGCATAAACATATGCACCGCAGTGTATGTATTTTCACACCAACAAAAGGACTTTTAAATACTTTTAGTAAAAAACTAAAAATAAAGAGTTCAATCTAAATGATTTTTTTTGCTTTGATGATATGGTTCTAGACTACCCGATCTAACAACAAGGCATAGTTTTTACTAAAGACCGGATATATGCAAATATAACTTTTATCGAATGGACTCACAAAGGAGCCTCTTAAATCAGAAACAATTAATATTGAAGTCAATAAGTAAAAAAGATTGTTCGGGTACAATCCAATGTACCGCGAGCCCAACGTACCGCCGAACTATAACTTCGTTCAAAATTATCGAAGGGACGCCCTAGTATGGTACGATGCGCCTCGGTGTTCTAAATCGAACCATACCAGGGCGCCACAGTCGATAATTTTGAACAAAGTTATAGCTCTGCGGTATTTTTGTCCCCTATTTTTGTCTTAAAAAATTAATGAAAATGTGTTTAAAAAATTCATTGGATACATAAACCAATAAATTAAAACAATTAAATCTTAAAATAATTTCTTTTTCAATTTATTTAAAAAATAACAAAATAATTTAAAAACAATAATTTTTTAAAAATAATTTTTTTTTCTCAAATTTTTTTCAGATTTTAAAACTCTGTAACGGATCAGCCATCTTCTTTTGAAAATTTCTTTTAGCAAAATTCTTTTCAGTTTTTTGTTTATTAAATTTTCTTCTTTTTTGATTTTCTCCATTTTCATTACTTTTTCCTTCTTCATTTTCAACAAAAAATTGTTTTCCCGATCTTTTCCTTTTTCTTCTATTATTTAATATATTTGGCGATTTATATGTTTCAGAGAATTTTTGACCTCTCAAAGCTTTTGGAACTTTAATTTAAAAAAATTTTTTAAAAATATTTTTTTTCAAAAGTTTCCACAAACCTAAATAATCTGGAACATCTGCTATTGCTGGGCTATGTATTTTTAATTTATATTGTTTTTTATCTTGTTCAAAGGCTAATCTTTCACGAGGATTTTTTTCAAAATAAGCATCCAAACGTTTTGATTTGAGTAATTCATCTCGAATTTCTGCCATTCTTGTCTGAAAATTAAAAAGAATTTAACCAAACATTTTTAAAAATACCTCTCTAATAACAGCACGTGTACAAGCAGCTAAAACTTCTCTAGCTCTTAATTGAAATCCTTCAAAATCCTGCATACGAACTTGGTAAGGGCGAAGAACGGGTTGGCCCACTAAAATAAAGGAAAATTTTTTAAAATTAACGTAAAATATTTGGAAGGGTTTTTAGGCGGTTAGAAAAAAACCAAAAAATTAAAATAAACTCTTCTTACTTCTTTCATTAACTTCTTGTCTAATTTGTTCAAACAATGCTTGTTCTGACAACAAACAAAAAGAAATTGCTGTTCCTTTGTTAAATCCTCTAGCAGTTCTTTAAAAATTTATTAAAAAATTCTATTTAAAAATTCAAACCTTCCAACTCTGTGCACATACATATCCGTAGATAAAGGAAAATCAAAATTTATAACATTTGGGACTAAATGGAAATCAATTCCTCTGCCAATTCCTGATTCCTTGTCTAAATGCCGTTTTTTGTTTTTCTTTAATTCTTTACGTTTTTGCTGAAAATATTGAATAAATTACTAAAATTAACTAACAAAAAATTAAATGTAAGAGAAATTGAGTGGCATCAAGGATAACCAAGAAAACTTCCAAAAAAATCCAATCAAAAATCGTCGAGAGATCAGAATCCGCTCAAATATGGGTTATAAAGATCCAGATTTTTCAGATATTGACCTGTATTATCGACATCAAGTTCGATCTTCATATCTACACTCCGCCACATAATTATATGAACACCCCTAAATTTTCACTTTTTACCGTATGTAGCAGGCAAATACCGTTTTTTAACCTTAATATATTTTAGAAATCGGCTTCAATGGCCCTAGAGAAAAGAAAATCTGAAAATCGCTTCAGGGTAAAATTTTTTAGAAAATTTTCAAATTTTCGACCGCCACATAATTATATGAACACTTTGGGTTTATGTATTTCTAAGTGCAGGAAAAATCTAGAAAAATTCCAATAAACTTATCTATCGATACTAAGATTAAATAAAAAAGAACTAAGCCTATATCTGTTTTAGGTGTCGAGATCTCGAATCCCGAAAATCAACGTAAAACAGGGGTAAGCTGCTTCAAAAAATTTTTTCGACCCCTTATGGATTATTTTAAATTTTTATTTTAGGCCTATCTGAAAGCCCATGAAATTTGCTACAAGATAGCAATTACCTTATTTTTCAGAAAAAATATTCTGGCATATTATTAACTGTTAAATCTTTCATTCTCAAAAAAAGACTAATTGCCCCAAAAAATGCCCTATAAGATCGTTACGGAAGAATGAACGTAAATATCTCTTAATTGTATTTTTTCTGAAAAATAAGATTTTAGGTATCTTGTAGCAAATTTCAAGGGCTTTCAGATAGGCCTAAAATAAAAATTTAAAATAATCCATAAGGGGTCGAAAAAATTTTTCGAAGCAGCTTACCCCTGTTTTACGTTGATTTTCGGGATTCGAGATCTCGACACCTAAAACAGATATAGGCTTAGTTCTTTTTTATTTAATCTTAGTATCGATAGATAAGTTTTTTGGAATTTTTCTAGATTTTTCCTGCACTTAGAAATACATAAACCCAAAGTGTTCATATAATTATGTGGCGGTCGAAAATTTGAAAATTTTCTAAAAAATTTTACCCTGAAGCGATTTTCAGATTTTCTTTTTTCTAGGGCCATTGAAGCCGATTTCTAAAATATATTAAGGTTAAAAAAATATTTCGAAATATGAATACGGTAAAAAGTGATATTTAGGGGTGTTCATATAATTATGTGGCGGAGTGTAATTACAAAAATGTGTCAATTATCTCCTACCATAGTGTTCCTTAACCCTTATTTACTTACACTATAACTTCTTAACCCTACCTTATTTTTCTTTCCTTTCAAATTTTCTTCTGTTTCCTGAGAATCATCAAAAATATCATTACATTCTGATGCAATCAAAAAGGGCCATTTTCCTTGATTAAATTCGCGAATAACTCTACAGCGAGAATTTGTTGGCATTTGAGCATTTAAAACACAAGAAGGGACTTTAAATGCTTGCAGAAATAAATAAAGCCTGAAAATTGGGAAAAAAAATTTAAAAAAAATTTCTCAAAAAATACAAACTTGTAACAACGGTCAACAGTAGACACAAAAACGACAGATTTACCAACCAGCAATTTAAGTTTTATAAGAGCCATTAAAATTGTAAAACGTTCCTCATCGTTTTGGCAAGAAATGTGAAACTATCAAAAGAAATTTCTAAAAATTAAATGTTCTAAAACCTGCTCTAATTGATCAGTTCCAGGCAAATCTCGTTCTTTTAATTTAAGTGAAAGCATCTTTCCTTCAACAAAAGTTTTTTGAATTTCACTAAGATCTTCTTTAAGAGTTGCAGAAGTCATTATTGTTTGAAATCGTTTAGGCAAAAGTGCTTTTAATTTTCTAAAATTAATTTATTGTTAGTTTATATAAGGGAGCCTTTCGGCAATCCCGGAGAATAGGGATTTCTTCAAAAAAAAATTTTAAAAATAAGAAAAAGAATTTTTCTATGGTAGAAAAATGTGCTGATTACGAATATGAGCTCGGATTTTGAAAAAAAGGTTCGGGTTCGGGATTCGACTTTTTCAAGTCTGACATGAGCTCATATTCATATTCACCATTTTTCCCTAGAAAAATCCTTCTTATTTTTAATTTTTTTTCAAAAAAATTCCTATTCTCCGTGATTGTCAGCCTTTCCAGTTTACAAAATTTACTTCATTTCATCCTGATATCCATAAGAAAATATTAAATCGGCTTCATCAAGTACAACAGTCCGAATTCTATCCAATAAACCAGGATTCTTTTCCACAACGGCCAATAAACGTCCAGGGGTTCCCAACAGAATATCAAGTAAATCATCATTTAAGGTTTGATTCTCATTAGGATCAAGATAATGAACCAAATCGAGAGCTTGAATAAAAGGAAAAGGAGCGATTAATTGTTGAAGTTGAGTGAATATTTGAGAAGTTAGTTCCTTTGTTGGAGCTACAATAAGAACATAAGGACCTCGCATGTCTGCAGATGGCCTTTCCTAGAAAATTAGAGAAAGTTTCAAAAAATGCATTAAAAATCAAACAATATTCAACTGCAAAATATTCTGAATAAGAGGAAGTAAAAATGCCGCAGTCTTTCCACTTCCAGTGCGTGCTCTAGCAAGTACATTCTTTCCACTCAAAACCATCGGAATCATTGAGGCTTGAACTGGTGTAGGTGTTTCCCAATTCATTTCTGCAATCATCTAAAAAATATTTTTAATTAGGAATAATTTTTCAATAAAAAATTTAAACCTTAATTAGCCTGTCATCGAAATCAAATTTAGCAAATGCGTTGTCAGAAGCTACATTTTTAGGTTCTTTGTCCATTTTTTGCTCCATTCTAAAAAGCAAAATTTAAAAAAAATAAATTAAATTCTTTTGAGCTGTATGACATTTTGTTTTTTGACATTATGAAAATTTAATTAAAATTGATGTCAAATTGTCGAAATTTAATTTGTTCCTAAGGCGAAATGTCACAATTTTTTCTTTATGATTTTTCTTGATTTTTGAGTTAGTGTTTAGGTTTCCTTTTCTAAGACTTTATGCTTCAGTTCAGTTTTTGGGTGGGGTGCAAAACTTTAATCTTATGAAATTCGGTTAGGCAAAACTCGGTTAAAAATTCTGCATTTTCAATAGACTTGGGTCTTTTTGGTACAAGTGATCTTTTTGTTGGAACAACTTTTCCTGTAATTAGAACAGCATTTTCTTTAGTTGGATCTTAGTTGTAATAGCCTTCACACCATCATTCGTGCCATAAAGCTTAAGTCAATTGAAAATGCAGTTTAATCGAGTTTTGGTCGGACTGTTATGCCCTGGCACTGTATTTTTAACTCTACAACCATTTTAACATTTTTAAAATCATTTTAGATTTATATTTGTTTTCATTTTAATTAAATAATAACGAAAAATAAAAATGGCAGAAGGAAACGAAGAAGTTAATCCTAAAGTAAATTTTTTACTTTTTAGCATTTCAATCTCTCAATTTAGGCTTATCCTTTGGCTGATATTCAACTTTCTCAGAAATTGTTGGATATTGTTCAACAGGCAATGAACTATCACCAATTGAAGAAAGGTGCAAATGAGGCAACAAAAACGTTGAATCGTGGCATTTCTGAGGTTCGTATACGTTATCTAGCGTTTGTTAAACTAAATTTTAGTTGATTGTTATGGCTGCTGATGCTGAACCGCTTGAGATAATTCTTCATTTGCCACTTCTTTGCGAGGACAAAAACGTTCCGTATGTTTTTGTTAAGAGCAAGGCAGCGTTGGGACGTGCTTGTGGAGTTACTAGACCAGTAATTCTTTTGATCAGGAAATTTCTAACCAAAAAATTTAGGTGATTGCTGCTTCGATTACGCAAAATGAGGGATCTCAGCTGAAATCACAGATCCAACAAATTAAAGAGGATGTTGAGAAACTGTTGATTTGATAACTTAAATTGATTTTTGATTTGTTTTTGATTGTTAAGTTTGGTATATTTTCAAATTAAAACTTTGTTTACTTTGAATTTGTTGGCTTCTTTAACGTTTTTTGCGTTTTAATCATTTAATTTTGATTTTTGAAAATAATTTTATTGGAGAAAAAGTGATGAGTTTTGTTCCTGGTTTGAATATTTCAGATTCTAAGAAGGTCCCTGATCCTGGTACGATTGTTGACACAGTAGCTGAGATTGCTGAAGAAGCAGAAAAATGTAAGGTTTACTTTTTGTCTAAAGACGTTTAAAAAATAAAATTTTTAGCCAGTATAAGTTCAAGATTTGGCTTTCAATTTGATGATGATCCTGAGACCTTTATTGAGGTTGTGTTGAGGTTTCTTTGGAGTTTGGTAATCGATTACGGGTTCTACGTCGTTTGTGGATTGTCTTTATATTCACTTATTGTTATGTTAATTAAGAAACGTTACATGGCTGGAATTGTCAATCGATGGAGTAAGTTTTTACCTTTATTTAATTGATTTAATGCCTGAGATATTGAGTTTCTAAATATAGCTTTTTAATAAGGGCAGAGCTAATAAGGAAATGTTGCGAGATCTCCGACCTAAAAACGGTCGAGATAGGGCTCATTCGTTAGAGAATGTGTGTTTTTTTTGAGCACAATAAGGCCCTTTTTTAACTTCCTTTAAATGATATTTTTTAGAATTATATCTTAATTATCGTGGAACGTTAAAAAGGATGAGTTTTCTATTAGAAAGGAACTACAAAATTGAACTCTGGAGTGATCAAGAATTTTGTAAAAGTTATTTACAGGTATAAATAAATTATAATTTTGTATTAATTAATTTTTTAGTTGTATGAATCATTCCGTTTCTTTCGTTCAATGGCAAACAGAGACCACAAAGGAGATTCTATTATCGATGATATTAAGCAACAGGCGGAGGCTTATCCACTTTACCCATTTTTTAATGTTGATTATAATTTGCGTGATCGACTTTTGTATGCACTTGAAGGGGTTGATTGGGTTGGCAAAGACGAGGACGAGGAGGTTATTTTTGTTAGATTATTTCAGTTCTTGACATTCAAGGGCCCCTATAAATTTTGTTTTCGACTGTATTTTGTAACATAATTTTAAAACCAAAACTACAAAATGGGCTGGACATAATAACAAGGGAACTGGGGAAAAAGCAAATTCTCGGATTTGTATTTCTTTTTATTTTAGGAATTGACCGCTAAAAGTTTAAGTGAACTTACTGCTAAAAGTACTGGTGCTGATAGGGAAACTAGTTCTGAAGAATTTGTGGATGGATTAAAGAAACGTCAAAGAAGCAACGCTGAAACCGTTACTGCGAGGGATACAAAAAGCGACAGATCGGTAGAAAGCAATTTTGAGAAGGGAAGTAAATTTGATTGAATTTGGAATAATTATTGAACATATCAGAATATTTAATTTTATTATATTTTTGCTAAGTTACGGGTATTAAATTTCTTTTTGTTATTTTTTTGAGAGACTTGTTTACGTGCAAATATTATTTTTTAAATTTATTTTTTACTTTGTAACCTTCTTTTTGCCTTTTAGAACATTTTTGTTTAACAAATCTCAATTTTTTACTTTATGAAAAACTTTGCATGTTTTAATGGATATGATTTATCTTCATCCGATTCGGATACATCTACTCACAGTGCAGCTACTCAGGATGAGTCTATGCCTTGTTCGAGTAATCGAATTGATTCTGATGAAGAAGTAATTTTGTAAAATTTGTTTCCTTTTTAATTGTTTTCTTTTAGGACCAACAACTTCCGCAACAGAACGTGAATGGAGGGGGACGAGTGGATGAGGTTTATTGTATAATTATCGAAATCTATAAATGTTAAGGTTTTTGTGGTTGAGAAAATTTTGGCAAAAAAGATAATAGATGGTATCATTTATTACAAAATCAAATGGAAAGACTATGATAGGCCTGAGGATGACACGTGGGAAGAGGTTGATTTTTGTGCTTTAAATATTTTATTTAATTAGATTGATAATTGCCATTGTGTTGACCTGATTAAAGAATACGAGGATTCTCACAAGAATGACAAAGTGCAAGTTATCTCAACTAAACCTCAACGAAAGGAGACTCGTGGAAGGAAGCGCAAATTTCGCAAAAGCATGGTATTTTTTAGTTTGTAATAATTGAAAATCCTCCTTTGATTTTTATCCCATTATGTTTGGTCGGGTTAATTTTTCCTTGCAGGATTAATAACGTTAATTTTAGCTAAACATCTTTTGGTAATCCTTTGGTTTAGATCCTCTCTTTTTTCCTGTTTGCATGACCATTTTATGCTTTTTTCTTGAATTTAAAAGAACCCTTTGGGCTGGTCAATTGTTAATAAGATCAGTTAGATTTGATGATTTGGGACAGCTACGAAGCTGGTTTTGTGCCGATTTTTTGATAAATATTAAACTTTCCTATACATTTTTTAACTAATTTTTTAATATTTTTTAGACTAATGTCATCGCTAAAAAACAAAATGTTGACCACACTTCCAGACAAATACCTTTCGGTTTTAATTTTCTTCAACTTAATCTAGCATCTAAATTTTAAGTTGAAAAAGAAAATTATTTCTTAAACGGAAAAGGTATGGTAGTGGACACAATTTTGGGATTTAGCAGATTACCTGACAATGGGAAGACGATGGCTTTGGTTTAATTAAATTATTTTTAATAATTTTTAAAGTTCTCTTAAGGTTTGTTATTTGGATGGACAAATCGAGTATATCCCTGTTGATTTATTGCGTAAAAATGAAAGTGGAAAGGAGGTTTATTTTTTTTGTAGAAATTTTTTCGGGTTTTAGGACTTTTAAAAATTTTAATCTAGCAATAAACTTGTTAAATTGAATTAGGTAAATGGAAAGAAAATTTGTCTAGGGGGAAGTTCTTTCCTCTCTCTCCTTCGAAACTAACAATAAGGCTTTCATTTCTTCGGGAATTATTTTCGATCCTTTCGTTAGATTTTCAATTATGATAGTACTCCTTCGTTTCCTAAACAAGTTAATTGTTATAATTTTTCGACTAATTACACATATAAATTCTATTCTTTTCCAGCGTCTTGTTGATTTTCTTTTACAACGTGTTCAATTTATTGATCTTCCCTGATATATTTTGGGTATTAAATGTTTATTTGAATATTGATCTTTCTTTGCATTGATTTCTGTTGCGGATTCTTCACTTACCTCGATGATTTTAAATTTAGTTCAAATATTTTTTGAAATTTTTTTCATCTTTTTGCTGCATATTACTTGATTATATTGGTGATAAATGTTGATATTTGCTTAATTATTTTTAACAAGTTACCTGTATTTTTATAGTTTAATATATAATTTATTTACTTAATTTTAATTTTTAATTATTTTTTTCGAAGCTCTAGTATTTATAAAGAATTTGTTTAAAAATGGTTACGACAATTGGACATTTGTGAGTTTTTAATTTTCGGCTAGAAAATTTTGTTAAGAATTTTTGAGCTTAATTTTTGCGGACAAAGTTATGATCTATTAAGGATTTTTGAGGGTGTTCTTTTTAATAACACTGCTAGCTTTTTCGGTATAAAGTAGCTTCCTCCTTTTTTAAATGATATAAATTTTGCTTTTCGATTTTTTGTAAATTCATTTTGTGAATCATTTTTGCATAATTGATGATCATCCCTTCTCCGTTCGTGTTAGAAAGCACAGCCCTTTAGAAAAAGCAAATCGATTAATTGAGAACATCCAGAAAATAAATTATTTTTAAGAATCCTTGACACTTCATAAAGACAATCTTTAATATTACGCAAATTTATCCGCAAAAATAAATGTACAAGAAATCTGTAAATTTTGACAAATATTCTTCTTTTAGAAACAGCAGCATAAGCGAGATTAATAGCTGGGTGGATGCTGTTGATCAAGAACATAGTTTGCGGGAAACTAGACGAACTGAGATAATGAAAGATGGACTTAAAATTGTTACCGATTTTATTGAAAATGAGGTCAATGGAACTAAGAAGATGTCGAAGGTATGTGAGAGATTTTAAAATTTTTCCGCATTGTTCTCCGGGTAAATTAAATGGGTCGCCCCCTTTTTGTAGGAATGTTTTGTAAATAATTTTGGCAATAGTGTATAGTATACCGTTGGAAAGGTTTCGATACAAGTCTCATACCATTTGATTTGTCTCGACATGCTGATGTGAGTCGAATGGTACCACTTTTCCGGACCAGCGGACCGAGATATAGATCCCCGAAAATCGAAAAACCATGGGGGGAGTAGGCACAATTTTAAAATGTTTTTGAACGCCTGACCTAAAGTGGGTTTTTGGGTCTTGCCAATGGGTACAATTATTTACCTGACATTTTTGTTCTAGTATATCTTTAATCCCTGTGTTATTTTGTAGGTTGTCACAACATACAAAGTCATTACAAAAAAAGTTCCTCGAGTCGTTGCAGAACGCAAAAAGTGGAAAAAGTTTGGTCAATCAAAAGATGATGGTCCAGGTCCTCATATCAACACAACTTATGTGGCTGTTGAAGTTGAATTACAATTTCTTCATAATAAATTTGGGGAGACTGACGACCTTTTAATGGATGAAAAGGGACAAGCAACAAAAGGAATGCATTGTCGTTTATGCAAATCTGATGAACATTGGAGTACTCATTGTCCTTATAAGGTTTTTATTTTGAAAGAAAAAATTGAAAAAAAATTTTTAAGGAGCATTTCAAAGGAAATGAAGATTCTGATTTGGCTGATAAATCTGCTGCTACAAGAATTGGTGGTGGTCCAAGTCAATTACCTCGTGGTACTTATATACCGCCATCTCTGCGAAATGTTGGTAGTGGGGCTGCTATTGGAGGTTAGTAAATATTTTGGTGTTTATTGTTTACAATTTGGGTATTCTTTTAAGTCTTAATTTTGACAAGTATCTTTTCGCGGGATTTAAGTTATGATTACTTTTATTCTTTCGGGATAAATATTTGAAGTTAGAACCCGTGTAAGAACTATTCGTTTAGCAAAATATAATTTGACTAACAGCTCATTGGACTTATAAAGCCAAACTTTTCGTGAATTCTTAATCTTGGCCAATTTTAGAAAGAAATCAGCTCTTTTCCGTTATTTAAAAAATTAAGCTCTATATTCCTGAAAAAGATTTTTAGTTTCTAATTTTTACCCAAAAATTTAAATTTTAGTTTCTGAACGTCATTCGGATGAGACAACTGTTCGTATAACTAATTTGCCTGAGGATTCTGATACTTTGGAAGATGATTTGAGGGGAATGTTTTCTAAAGCTGGAAAGATATTGCGCTCATATGTTGCTCGAGATAAAATACATAACAAGCCAAAAGGATTTGCTTTCATTACTTTCGCGCAGAGAAACGAGGCAGAAAATGCAATTCAAAACTTTAATGGAGCTAAATTTGAACATTTGATTCTTAAAGTGGAATGGACAAAGTTAGTTATTTTGTGAATAAAATTTGAAATAATTGTATTTGGTTTTAATTAAATGATATAAACAATATAGAGATATCATAAAGGAAAAATACAAGAAGGGGGAAAAAAGTCCGCATCCCATTTGCGGGTAGGTAGGACATCAACACCATCTAGTGAGCTCTAGTGGGGTTTTCTAACTAACAAGGAACCAATATCGAACTGTCAGGAGTACGCATTCTATTTAAGGACATCTCAAGGCATTTTTAGGCCCAGGGGTGTATCTAAAACTATGTTAAGGAGACTTTGTTCAAATCCTAATAGGATTTGAATTTTTCGTGATACATTCAAAAATAATTTTTTTAATATTAAATTTTTTTAGACCATCAACGAATTAAATACAAAAAGAATAAAGGGAAGAGAAAATTATTTTGACAATAAATATTTTGTTTTGTAAAGAAATTTGTGAATTGAAATAAAATTATATGTTGTTAAATATTTTGTTTTCCCACATTTAAGTTCTTGATAAACGAGACTGAACACCTAAAAAATAATAAATTAAAAAAATTTATTTTCAACAACCTCAATAGGTTACTTCATTTTTCACTGGTTTCATTGGAATTTGATATCTTGGGAAAATCATCTTAAACACTTCCATATATTTCTTCACAAAGTGTGCGATTATTCCACCTTTTTCTTTTTCGTTTATGTTGTTCCATTGATGCTCCATATTCTTTGGAAGAATGAGATGTTTTACGCCCAAACGTATTGCCGCTTTTAATATGACTGGGAGTTCCGGAACTTCTATAATTTCGCCAGAAAAACTTATTTCACCGATCATAGCATAATCTTAAAAAATATTTTTTTAATTAATTAAGAGTTTAATTTTTATCTATTACCATTTTCAGGTGCCATTTTTAATAAACACGAGAGCATTGAGCTAACAATGGATATACCGGCACTTTCTCCACTCTTCCACATTCCAGCCTGAAAAAAAAGAAAAAAATTTTTAACGAAAAAAAAACTAACTGGAAGTATATTAATAGCCAATTGTTTTTCATAAACATCTAAACCGAGTTCTTCTTCCATAAATAAAGAAGTAAAAGTCCTTGCAACAAAACAACTGTCTTTCACGCGTTGATCACAATTTCCCAGTACGGTTATTGGATTTGGTCCATTCTTCAAATCAGCACATTCAACGTAACCAAATCTGCCTACTGAAAAATAATGAAAGTTTAAAATGGCTTATCTTAAAGGGTTTTACGGCCTATCTGAAACTCCTTTTTCTCCAAAAAATTTTCTGTTTTCAGTTAAAGGTTAGCAAGGACTGTACTTCAAAAATATATGTATTAAACTTACATCCATCCGATGACCCTAGCAAAATCGTGAAAGTGCCAATTGGAAGTGTCGTGAAGAACTTTTCATCGTAACCAATAATTGAATGAACGGAGTCTTGTTGAGTGACGGCTGTCGCTAATGTCCATTCTATATTCTTTACCATTGAGAGCATTCTCTGAAATTTTAAAAAGATTTAAGGGTAAATAGAAGTATTTTTTCTATTTTTACTAAATTTATCCTAAAAAATAGGACTTTTTAAAACGCTCTTTTCTAGAAAGAGCTATTAGAATTTAATTTTTTTCTGTCTACTGAAAAATAAGACAAGTTTAAAAGGTAAAAGAAGTTTAAAAAACTTCACTTACTGCGTTGGGAAAACTCCAAGTATTGTTAGTATAAGTGCTGATAGACTCGGGAAATTCGATGTTCGGCATTAATTTTTGAATTTTTTGATGTTCTTGGTTTGCATTATTGCTTTGATGTTTGTAATTGTTTTTCTTCATTAATTGTTTGCCTTCTTTCTTTGATTTAATTTTTAATTTTCCCAATTGCTTATTTTGTTTAGGTTGCTTCTGAAAACAAAAAATTCTTTTCAAATAATAAAGATAAATATTCTACCTTATTCACTTTGTATTTTTTCTTTCCACATGTCAACAACAAGACGGCACAACAAACAAAAGAGTAAATCATCAAGCAATAATAATAGCAGTAGTTACAGAATAAATAAAACATTTGTTAAAAATTTTTAGGGGTTTAGGGACTTTGATGGTAAGGTTTGTGTAAATTGGTATCTTTTATAGTACCGGGTGCGGCAAATTAATTTATTATCAATTTTCATTAATTTTGAAGAAAGTTATGAGGCCTTAATTTGCCGCACTCTGTAATAATTTTTTGGCTACCAGAGGTGGTTAAACAAGCTGTATTTGGGAGTGTTGGAAATAGGAAAAATCAAAACTTAATTGGGAAAGTGAAATAAATATGTACGGGTTTGAAATCCAACCGTACTTAAAAATGACTCATATTTAATCACTTATTTTTTGTTTTATTTCAGGATTACTATTCGAAAGTCTATTTGTTCTATTCCTTATATAATTTTAGAATGCTTTGTCTGTTTCCAGCTTTGTATTTTGCGAGACTTGTTGTTGTGTTTGGCGTTGTGTTTTTTTTAATAAAAATGACAGAATATCCCAGAAAAGAAAAATAGTAATTTGTATTTAGAGGGTTAAAGGCAGGGCTCGCATCGACAAAATGACAATCAAAAGTATCAAAATCTCGATTAAAAGGTATATAGCAGGGTTGCCGCCCGAAACCCAGCCTTTTTTTGTACCCGAAACCCGATACCCGAAAAGATTAATCTGAATTTAAGTTATTATTATAAATGTTTTGAGTGAGATACTCGAAAAGATTAATCTGAATTTAAGTTATTATGTATTATAAATGTTTTGAGTGAGATTTTCGCGTTGACAACCAATAGAGAACAAAAAATTTGGGTGGATTTATGGCGACCTCTTCGAATTTCGGATATTACAAGATATCGAATTGTTTTAAAGAATTAACAGACAAAAACTTAACTTTAAAGAATTAACAGACAAATATTTTTTTAAATTTTTATTTTTTATTTAATTTCTTTGATTAATTTTTTTCATTTAAATTTTTAATAGATTTTTGAAAATATTTTTTTATAAAAATAATTTTTTAGAATAAAAAATATTTAAGTTATTTTTTTCTTATTTTAAGAAATATATATTTTTATTTTGTTAGATTTAATATTTATTCGTTTAAATTTTTTGAATAAAATTTTTTTGAATATATTTTTTATATTTTAATATTTTTTTAAATTTTTATTTTTTATTTAATTTCTTTGATTAATTTTTTTCATTTAAATTTTTAATAGATTTTTGAAAATATTTTTTTATAAAAATAATTTTTTAGAATAAAAAATATTTAAGTTATTTTTTTCTTATTTTAAGAAATATATATTTTTATTTTGTTAGATTTAATATTTATTCGTTTAAATTTTTTGAATAAAATTTTTTTGAATATATTTTTTATATTTTAATATTTTTTTAAATTTTTATTTTTTATTTAATTTCTTTGATTAATTTTTTTCATTTAAATTTTTAATAGATTTTTGAAAATATTTTTTTATAAAAATAATTTTTTAGAATAAAAAATATTTAAGTTATTTTTTTCTTATTTTAAGGAATATATATTTTTATTTTGTTAGATTTAATATTTATTCGTTTAAATTTTTTGAATAAAATTTTTTTGAATATATTTTTTATATTTTAATATTTTTTTAAATTTTTATTTTTTATTTAATTTCTTTGATTAATTTTTTTCATTTAAATTTTTAATAGATTTTTGAAAATATTTTTTTATAAAAATAATTTTTTAGAATAAAAAATATTTAAGTTATTTTTTTCTTATTTTAAGAAATATATATTTTTATTTTGTTAGATTTAATATTTATTCGTTTAAATTTTTTGAATAAAATTTTTTTGAATATATTTTTTATATTTTAATATTTTTTTAAATTTTTATTTTTTATTTAATTTCTTTGATTAATTTTTTTCATTTAAATTTTAAAAGATTTTTGAAAATATTTTTTTATAAAAATAATTTTTTAGAATAAAAAATATTTAAGTTATTTTTTTCTTATTTTAAGAAATATATATTTTTATTTTGTTAGATTTAATATTTATTCGTTTAAATTTTTTGAATAAAATTTTTTTGAATATATTTTTTATATTTTAATATTTTTTTAAATTTTTATTTTTTATTTAATTTCTTTGATTAATTTTTTTCATTTAAATTTTTAATAGATTTTTGAAAATATTTTTTTATAAAAATAATTTTTTAGAATAAAAAATATTTAAGTTATTTTTTTCTTATTTTAAGGAATATATATTTTTATTTTGTTAGATTTAATATTTATTCGTTTAAATTTTTTGAATAAAATTTTTTTGAATATATTTTTTATATTTTAATATTTTTTTAAATTTTTATTTTTTATTTAATTTCTTTGATTAATTTTTTTCATTTAAATTTTTAATAGATTTTTGAAAATATTTTTTTATAAAAATAATTTTTTAGAATAAAAAATATTTAAGTTATTTTTTTCTTATTTTAAGAAATATATATTTTTATTTTGTTAGATTTAATATTTATTCGTTTAAATTTTTTGAATAAAATTTTTTTGAATATATTTTTTATATTTTAATATTTTTTTAAATTTTTATTTTTTATTTAATTTCTTTGATTAATTTTTTTCATTTAAATTTTAAAAGATTTTTGAAAATATTTTTTTATAAAAATAATTTTTTAGAATAAAAAATATTTAAGTTATTTTTTTCTTATTTTAAGAAATATATATTTTTATTTTGTTAGATTTAATATTTATTCGTTTAAATTTTTTGAATAAAATTTTTTTGAATATATTTTTTATATTTTAATATTTTTTTAAATTTTTATTTTTTATTTAATTTCTTTGATTAATTTTTTTCATAATAAATAAATTTTTTATTCAGACCAAAGGGTATACAATATACCACTAAAATGGTTGAGTGTGTACAAATAAATGTGAAATTTGTATTATAAAGAGTTTTAGACATTTCAAAGTAAATAAATAGGCACAGGTAGTTAAGTTAATTTAGGAGATATTTTAACTTTTTTTTGGTTAAAAATGTTTTTTTTAAGTTAACT